CAAAAGAGAGACAAGGCAAGTGAAAAGGCAGTTACACACACCATGTCTACAAAACATCTAATATCTTACATTTGAATGGTAATTAGGTAATGTCATAATCTATGAGAGACGACTTAACTCCAGTCCATTAATCAACTAATTCATTACTCGGCTGCCATATTGTAAATCTACAACTGAAGCCATTAAGTTTAACTTTTCTGAGTTATTTTTTTAGCAACTCAGTTATGATACCTCTTCTTAACACATGGTGTCACTCTTTCTTATCTATGCAGACAACCATGACTAAGACCCTCAAACCCAGTCCCTATTTATCAGGTACCATTGTGCTGTTGAGTTGTTGTAAACAATGTTTGTGGCATACTACGTCTAACTCTGACAGCCAAAGGTGTTCCCATGAAATATAACCACTTTAAGTGTATGTACATTTTGATATTTACTAGTTTAAAATGTAAATTATTCTAAATTGTTTTCTTTTCTGAATCGAGGGTGTCAGATGTTGTTTAGATTAAATGTTAAACTGTATTTGTCTTTTGCAATATATCACGTTCAAAAGGGGAATAAAGGCTTTTAGGAAAGTGTTTAGTGTATGTGCCACTGAATACAGTATGTGAATTATTTTTTAATATGTGTAACAGTTAAAAATATATTATTTTATATAAATCATTGCATTTCCCATTAACCCTATAATCTAGGAAATACTGATAAGAAAAGCGTTCTGGTTTGCTTATGAAATACAGACCAATGGACATCTGTATTGCCACAATGAAGTGTCTCATTCTGTGAGCTTGTATCAGCAAATGTCACTTTGTATTGAGGTTTCCTACCACAGCTATAAATCCTTTGGGGAAACAGGCCTTCACAGAGAAGTTTTATGGCACAGAGACTTCCCTTCTATTCTGCAGGGGGTATGCTGCTTAACACCGTGTTCGTGTGTCACAGTCCTTTTAACTGGCACAGTCCCAAAACTACCAGTATTTTTCTATTCAGCAGCATCCAGATGTTCCCTTACAGATGTTTTTATTTAACCTTTATTTAACCAGGATAGGTCTCATTGAGATTAAAAATCTCTTTTTCAAGAGAGTCCTGGCCCAAGAATGGTAACAGCACAGTTACAGACAATTTTACAGTTACAGACGATTAAAAAAAACAAAAAAACACACAATCACAACACAGTCATACACCAGGATTAGCCAAATAATTTACAGACACAGCGGCCTGCTTCAAGGTCAGTTAAAGTTGCTTTGAGTGTGTTTAATGAGACCAGCTCTCTGAGTTTCAGCTCAGTTTGAAGCAGGTTCCAAGCTTGAGGGGCAGCATAACTGAACGCCCTTTCCCCCAGTTCAGTACAGACCTTTGGTACAGTTAAAAGGAAAAAGTTCTCGGAGCGAAGCCGATAGGATCCTGTGCATTTTCTGTTCATGTACATCCTTAGATAAGGGGGAAGAGCACCAAGAATGGCCTTATATATAAGGATGTACCAATGTTTCAGTCTACGCGTGGTCAGGGAAGGCCATCCAACACGAGTGTATAGATTGCAGTGGTGCGTCAAGGTTTTGAGGTTTGTGATGAATCTCAGTGCACCGTGGTAGACGGTATCCAGCGAGTGAAGGCACTGAGAAGATGCATTCATATAAACCACATCTCCATAATCCAGCACACTAGTCTCCTTTTGTCCTCATATGAAAAACAGGACTTGTTTCTAAAGAAAAAACCTAACTTTATTCTTAATTTTCTCAAGAGTTCCCCAATGTGTGGTTTAAAGGAAAGATAAGATCCAAGATACTTATACTGCAACACAGATTCAATCTCCGACCCCTGCAAGGTGGTGATAGGAGAAAGGTTCAAGACCTTGGGTTTTGCTTTCGAGAACATCATTAGCTTTGTCTTGGCAGCATTTAAAAGAAGTTTCAAATCACTCATATTGGATTGTACAATGTTAAAAGCATTCTGGAGCTGACAAAGAGCCTGCTTCGGGGTGGACGCAGAACAATAAATAACTGTATCATCGGCATAAAAATGCAAATTTGCATTCAAAACATTGTTATTAAGACTGTTAATGTAAATTATAAATAACAATGGTCCTAAAACAGATCCCTGTGGCACACCCTTGGATACCTGAAGAGATGTTGAAGTTAAGCCTTCTGCCCGCACACACTGTGATCTGCATGATGGATAGTTCTCGAACCAACAGACAGCGTTACCTGAAAGACCGATACTAACGAGTCTTTGTGACAGTAAGGCATGATCAACTGTATCAAAAGCCTTTGACAAGTCAATAAAAAGTGGTGCGCAATGTTCTCTATTGTCTAAGAAGTAAACGAGATGATTTACTACTTTTAAGGCAGCTGTTGTAGTGCTGTGTTTTTTCCTAAAACCAGATTGAAAGTCAGATAAAATATTGTTTGTTGATAAAAAACTCCTTCAGTTGGAAATTGACCAGTGATTCCAGCACTTTATTTAAAACACATCATTTGGAGATGAGTCTGTAGTTGTTTAGGTGAGTGGGGTCACCCCCTTTTAACAGTGGGAGAACAAAAGCAGATTTCCAAATAAGGGGAATTTCGTTTGTCTCCAAGGACAGATTAAAAAGATAAGCCAAGGGCAAAGCTATAAAATCAGCAGCTGACTTTAAAAAGTACGGCTCCAGGTTGTCAGGACCTGCTGATTTTCTTGGTTCCAAACTTTTCAGGGCTTTATGCACCTCTGAGACTGTTACTGGAATAAAAGGAAACGGTTCACCCTCCCAGATACCACCGTCAGAGCGATCAGTGGCCCCTTGAGCTATGTTCTGCGAGGTAAACAGCGAACCAGAAGCAATAAAATGTTCATTAAAACAACCAAGCATTTCTGCCTTATCAGAGATTTGAACAGAGTCCTCCTTCACAATGCAATGTGGAAGCTCTATAACATTTTTGTTTCCAGCTAATGATTTAATAGTTTGTAATGTTCTGATAAGACAGGAAGCTTTGAATGTGTGCTGGTAGGAAGCAAATATACAATATATACTATTTCAAATGTTTCAACGTTTTTTTTAGTGTCTCTAAAATGCAGTGGCATTGGAGGACACTGCTTTACGTTAAAGCCCTGCATTCAAATCTTACTCAATTAGAAGAAAAAAGAATAAGCATTAAAGTTACTCATTATGTAGAATTGTCCATTTCAGTTTCATATAAATTATATTATTGGATTATTTTGTAATGATGAGTATATCACTTTAATGTTGCAACATGTTATTGTTGGGATTATTATATTAAGTGCATTTACTGCTGGGTTTCCTAACCTACAATGAATCATATTTCACTTGATTTTTTTTTAATCAAGACTGAAAATAAGCCAAGTAACTAGAAGCTAAAGTTAAATAAATGTAGAGAATTAATCATCGTAACAGAAAAGTATTTTTGCTGACTTACTTACTTTAATGATATCATTGTGTGATTCTTACTTGCTAATATTTATCTCCATTTAGCTTTCACGTCTTTTCTAAGCTTGGGAAAAGTCCTTATTAAGAAGTTTTTTGAGGCGATGTTGTTAGTTACACGCTAGTGCACCAACAGTATGACCTTCAACTTCTGTTGAACTGAACATCCTGATACTGCCTCCACAACTTCAAGAATACTCCTTTCATTATCGCCAAGCTTGACTCCCCTTTCCTCCTCTCTCTGTTTGAATATGAAACCTAAACTCTACTCTTCGTCCTTCACTCTGCAGACTGTATGCTCTCTGTATGACTGATTGACTTTTCTTGCAAGAAATAAAATATGACAAAGACAGCTGAATGGTTTGATTCTTCATCCACATTTCATGAATACAAATGCCACCACAGTACTGCATCATTTCCTTGTAACATATCAAATGTTAAATGTTACTACTTACTTAAAGAAAATTAAATTAAAAGTGAAATATTTTCATAAACGTTAAGTGGAAAATAAGTATAAGGTTCAAGTACAATTAGTAAATTGAGTTACTTTTGACTATTAAACAGGGTACAATTTAATAATGGTATTCAGCATTTGGAAAAGACTACATTTAAATACTTTAAATTAATTTAGCTTAGAATAGATTTTAACTTTTATTGTAATATTTTGAATGCAGAACTTAGTTGAGTTGTGCATTTTAGACAGAAAGCAAAAATAGCTGAATACCTCTTCCAAACCACTAACATACAGAGATGGGAGAAGTACTCAGATCTTGTACTTGTGTAAAAGTAGAAGTACTGTAAGAATACTAGAAGTAAAGGTTGTGCATTCAAAATGTTACTCAAGTAAAAGTACAACAGAATAAGTATCAAAATATACTTAAAGTACCAAAAGTTAAAGTACTCATTATGCAAATTGGCTCATTTCAGAATAATATGTTTTGATTCTATTATTGATGCATTAAAGTGTTATCAAAGCTGGTAAAGGTGCAGCTAGTTTTAATTGCTTTGTACACTTCAGGGTTGCTTGTGAATGTTAATCAGGTGAAACTAAAGTGATTATATTTCAAACCATTAATCCAAGTACTTAAAGTAACTAAAGGTACAAAATAAATGTAGTGGAGTAAAAGTATAAAATCTACCTCTGAATTGTAGTGAAGTAGAAATACAAAGTACCATCAAATGGAAATACTCAAGTAAAGTACAAGTCCCTCAAAACTGTACTTAGGTTTCAAGGCTTGTATTGTCCTTTGTGCTTAGCTACAGTGTAGTTATGACAATTACATTCTTAGGTCACAGGCTCCTCCAACAGTGCAACACAATAAAACTGATAAAATAGTACAGGTTAATACAATAAAATAGAATATAATAGAAAGTGCAGAATAGTAATAGTATAGTAATTGGAATATTGATATGAGTTGCAAACAATTCTGCATGCAAGATAATAACAGTTAGAGGTTATTTCATAAAGGACTGGCGAACATTTGCTATAATAAGTGGGTGAAAAAGCATCACTGCCTGAGTGAACACACTGTAGCAGAACAGTGTGTCCACCTGCATGCTGCTCTCCTTCCTGTGCTGCTGCTCGGTGTGTTGCTCTGAAGTATGTTTGCTCGAAACTGGGAAAGTCGCCCAGTCCTCGCCTGTAGGTTGAACTACACCTGGGAGACAGTCTGGGATAACCACTCCACAACAATGCAGCGAAAGATTTCGCCAGTGAAAACTTCGACAGAGTAAATGCTGTTCCAGTATTTTGTTAGATGTATCTTTTTATAATTCAGTGAGTTCACAAGGATCTCTTTGTTTCAGCTAGCGACACGTTAGCCGCTTCCGGAAAACAACCTTCACACAGGTAAGGCGAGTTTCGATCTCCTTATGAGCCAAATATGTCTTTCTTTGAGAACTAATACCACCTAAAGCTGCTTCACCCTTGTATGTGTATTCAAACCTTGTGTTGTATGGCTACATATTGTTTTATTAGGGCAGGTATTCACTCAGAAAGTGAGTTTGAAGGTGTGTAGCTGTTAGCGGTGTCTGAGCAGCTGAAGGTGAAGCCATGGCTGCATGTGGTCCACCTGCCTGATACCTGTGAAGGTTACCTTTATTACCTCTTCTGTCATCTGGATCTGTCACATCGTGCTGTTGTGATTAGGACCAAAGCAGCAGACATGGGCTGACAACAGGGGGGGGGGGG